CATAACCTTAACTCTGCCCCCTAGAGCTGTGAGGCTGTAGTATTCTCAGCTGGGTTTAGAAAGCATTGTGTAACATCACTGCCAGGCTTGGTCTTAAGGAAGTCGGTGATTCAGCTGAACGTCTTTTGAGTGAAAGAAGTCATCTAAGAGAATGAGAGCGAAGTTGTCGATTTGATTTATGGACCAAACACCCAACTCTTGTCCAAGAACATCTGGCCTGGATGGTTGTTTGAAATTGTTCCCTGTTTGGTAAATCCCAGGGTACTAATGGCTAGAGTCACTGTGGAGGTTGATAATAATTAATGTGTACGGGGTGGAGGAATGGCCCTGTAATTCCTGTCTGGATGGGTGACTTTGCATATGGAACTGCATAGAAAACTGTCTGCCTGATTCTCAACTGCCTTGCACTTTGTATCTCGGAAACCCCTGGATCGAATGATCCCAAATTTGGATCACTGACCCCAGCCAGTGCCCCCATGGTGCTCCCCAAATTACAAGGCAATCTGAGTCACCATGCAAATATTAGAGCACTTAGGAAAGCTGAGCTTTAACCAGAAAGTTGGTCTCAATTTTAGCTATAGTAGCTCTGGTGGTCTACTATAACATAGTCATTTATACATGTGTAAAATGGGTGCAAAGTGGTGCACAAGACTACCGTCTGGAGCTGGTCTCATTCTCCCCCCACTTTGCGCAGGTGTAAATAACGACACAAAGCAGAAGGCTATGGCAGATAGGGCCCACAGTGTTGTGAAAATGGTTTTAAAAACGCCCGATACCTTGAGAAAATATACAGTGACTGGGGATTGTTAATGAAGAAAGCACAGAGCGCCTGCCCTGGGCCTGGTGACGCTGGCCACTGGCGCAGAATGCATAGTCCACTGTGAGTGGGGTGACCAGATGTCCCGATTTTATAGGGACAGTCCCAATTTGGGGGGGCTTTTTCTTATATAGGCACCTATTACCCCCCACCCCCGTCCCACTTGCCCTCTGCTCGTCCTAACTGTGAGCTGGAGGTGGTTTTTACAGCATGCATCCCTCTAGTATTTTGGGGAGGGCTGCCTGGACAAGAAATCTGCGGCCGAGAGAGCTCTGAAGGACGTTTTTTTCAGGCCAACGGCTGCAGCGGTATTTTTACCGGCTCTTCCCTAGGACCGAGCTGTGCAGTGCAACATTTCTCCATTTCCCCACGTGTGAGGTTTGGCAGCTGTTGCCTCCACCGGGGCAGAGTTAAGGCTATGGCTGTTATCGGAGGGTAACTCAGTGGCTGGTGGCAGAAATGCTAGCTCACTCTGGAACTTTCCAGGCTTCTACATTTTCACAATGGTTGCCAACGTGAACGTGCTCAGAAGAGAAGACATGCTCCTCAAGCTGATACTTGCCTGTAATTGTCACTTCCCCTGGACCAAGGGCTGAGCTGGGGACTAGTTAATGTTTGTGTAGTGCTTTGAAGGCATAAAGCAACATGGAAATGGTGCGGGTATTGGTTGTCTGTTATGAGTGCTTTGGGATGGAGCCTTGTTTTGCAGGGCCTGTTGGCGTGGTAGCATCTCGATCTCTCCTGTGCCTCTAGCACACAATTTGGCCTCTTGAGGATGGAAATACTTGAATTTAATTAAAGTAATTGGGATCAATACAGGGGTAGTTGGGTGAAATGTAACAGCCTGGGACAGGAGATCATACTAGAGGATCTGATGGTTCCTTCTGGCCTCTATGAAATCAGGCATCCAAGACAATGATGAGTCTGTAGGTCTCTAGAGGCCTTTTCGTCTCTCCAGTTAGCACAGCCCTGCTCTGGCATCAGGTCTGGCCAGGTCCTATGGGCTCACAGTGGCTTTGAACAGGTCCATGCTATATAGCTGGACTGGAAAGCTGTCTGAGGACAGTCATGGATCAACTACTAAAAGGGTCCCTTTCAGCTGAGATCAGCTCAGGAAGACTCCTAGTGGCTGGGCGAAAAGGAAGCGCCTTCCTGACTCCTGGAAGAGCGTGATGGACCAGTTTGGGTCTCACTTATGGTGCAGGAGACACCCACCACCCACTGAGCTTGCCACGCCTGCTGGACAAGGAGGCCTGTCATTGCTCGCTGCCATTCTCACTTGTTTCCTCGGGGCGATGTGCCAGGCACAATGGTGACGGAACCAGGCATCTGCCTGTAACAGCCTGCCATGGTTCGGAGGACAGGCGGCTGGAGAATGGAAGTGGAGCTCTGAACTGGGCCCGGATCCAACGGAGTACGTAGGCCTGTGTATAACGCTGAGCATGCGTGTGCACCCATGCGTTGGAGTCAGCAGAACTAGCCACCATATTTCACCCCGTCTCTCTGCAGAATGAGGCGCGTCTGTCGGCTTAGAGGACCCAGGACCCATATTCCTCATCCGGGAGCCACCTCTCAGTGCGGCCCATTTCACAACAACTGGCAACCTCTGCTCAGGCCAGGTGAGACCCGCCGGCCCGAGCCTACAATGCACATGTGGACATGGTTAGGTCTGAGGCCCCGTGGCTGCATATGTCTGAGCAAGAGTGAGGGCTGCCTGGCACGCAGGGGCTGCTGGTTTTTTCAATCCCATTCCTGTCCTTAGCTGGTGGCTCCCACCACTCTCCCCTCCACCCTCTCCAAGGGGCTCTGCTCATTCTCCACCCTTCTGCCGCCTTCCTCTTTTAATTAGAAAAGGGTTCCTGCTGCCCCGCTCCCAGCCGTCTGGCTGCCGAGGGACCGGGAGAGCCTGCGCTGATCGTGGGTCCCAAGGCCCAGCTCAAGGGGGGGCCTCAGGGCTGGAATAGCACTGGGGCAGGACTGAGGTGTGAAGGCTGAGCTGTGTGCCCATAGGTCAGGATTGTGGCGTGCACCGTGTCTGCCACCGCTTTGCCTGGCTCAAGCTTGTGTGATCAGCCTCTCGCTTTGGTTGCACTATGGGCCTGATCCTGCGAGATGTTCAGCACCCTCGTCAATGGCAGGGGAGAGTGTCCAGGAATCGCTCGGCGCCTTGCAAAATCAGGACTTAAACTCTGCCATGAAACGTTAATAGGCCGATAACCCCTCCCCCCCACACACACATCTGAGATACAGCCTTTGACCTGGCATTTCACTTCCCAGCCCTGGGAACAGGGAGGCAGGAGACCCTTCAAAAGTTATTTTAACTTCCTGCCAGAGGGACAGGGACTATGGGGGGGGGGGCTGTTTTGTAAGAGTGGCTTTCCGTTCTCCCTCTTCTCTGACGCCCACTTCTCTCGCGCTGCTGTCCCGGAGTAATCGATTGCATCAATAAACTTGGCTGCATGAGCTGGAGTCAGATAGATGGAGTTTTGATAAGTTTTAAACCGTACGCCCGACAGGATTCATCAGCCTGCACTTGCCTGAATAGATCTCAGCAAAGACCCACATCCTGCTTATTTTCCCCTATAAATACATGGGCCCAGCTCCTCAGTGGGTGGAAATCTGTGTTGCTCTACAATAGATTTCCACCTGTTGAAGATCTGGCCCCCTGTGCTCTGTTAGTGTCAAGGGCTATTGGCTCTGGATTATTACGAGCTACCGTTTTGACAGCTGTGTTGTTCAGATTTTGTTTGGAAACACCCAGCTGTGATTAAGAACTAATCGAGCCCCTTCCAACGTTGTCTCCAGGGATGATATTCCACTAATCAGTGCAAATCTGTCAGACAATTTGCATCTCTCTGAGCCCTGCACAACTAATTATCAAATCAGTTCGCAACACTCTTTATACCATCATCTGATAATGGAAAGTCTGGCCCTAGGTCAGGCGATGATTGGGCTATCTTGTCCCATCTCTGAAAACTCTTTGGGGGCTTCCTGGGAGCTGTCATTGGTGACGGGGACCACAGAACATAAAAAAAAGCAAATGAAACATGCCCCAAATCATCATTGGTTTTCAGATGCCCAGACGCAGGATTGATATCATAAAAAAATTCAATCAAGGCAAAGTCTCAACACAATACACTGCCGATGGCCTGGCTAATGAGTTCCCTTTGCTTGGCTACTGCAAAAAATACCTTTTGGTAGCCATCCTGTTGTGTCTCTTGTACCTGAGAATCCTAGTGCACTGGTAACCATTACAAAGTCTTGCTCCCCGGAACTGTCACCAAAGAAATGTGGAATTCAGCCAAAAGAAGCAGCAAACCAGTTTCCGAAGAGGCTTGGATTGAGTCTGATGATGACATTTACGAGACGTGATCCACAGGTGCCTTTAGGGGCACATCTTCAGCTGGGATAAATTGTCATAGCTCCATGGACAATTTACAGACATTATATAGAAAAGCTACAGACAATTGGAGCTATCAGAATTTACACTAGCTGGGGACCTACACCTGCCTCTTAGCTATTAAAGACAGGAGGAAACGTGAAGCAGACATGCAAGGCAGGTCAAGCAAGTTGGGAATAACGCTTTTTCTGACTTATTGGTGTCCCCCTATAACAAAGACTTCAGCTAGAGCTAATGAGATGGATCTGATTTGCACAGCTCAGCTTCCCATCGAAAGTAGTCGCAGAAAGATCAAATATTACACATTTGGATCTCAGCCACAGACACCTCCACTTTGCTAACTAATAAACCAACTGCACATTTCAAATGGCCCATTTCATTGCTGATGCACAAAACTGACTTTAGCCGTGGGGGCTGACTCTGTCTTGCTTTCCCATTCTGTCTTTAGATATAGCATTTTGTGTCCCCTTCCCTGGAGATAACCCTTGAAACATGTCAATCCCACCTCTTTCCCCCGTCCCTGGAGCTAGTCAGTTTAACTCTGAAAACTCCAGCCAGTGCTTTAGCTGATCCTTTGCCTCAGTAACTCAAAAGACAGAGTCATTTTTGTCTCTTAATACAGTTTCCTAGACTGCTTTTTGATAGAATGCTTCTCTCCTTTTGCATAGAAATGTAGCGCCTAGCAGGGACCCAAGCACCTAGGAGAAGCACTGAAATATTTAAACTTTGTTGCAAACAAAGCTGGTTGCTCTTTAATAAATGAATTCCAAGCAATGCACTCACCTGTAAGTCTTCTGTGCTCAGGAGGGAGAGCGCTCACTGTTGCAAGCCGCCGTCTCAGAGTAAGGAGAAATATATCAGGAACATTAGCCTGAACTTCTGTATCCTGCCTTTTCTTTTATTGTTATTAAGAGGGCTGCGATATTTTTTCTCTCTATGGAAACGCTTCCCCCCCCCCCTCCTCCCTTGTGTATATATAAAAATGAGTGATCACGGGGTCTGAATCGTAACTCCAGCCGCGGCGCCTTCATTTGGACATGATTTCATTAAAATGAAATCAGAAGGAGCTGGCAACGTCACGGGGCTGAGATGTCCCTTCCCATTCAGAAAAAAAAAAAGAAAAAAAGCTGGCTATTAAGAGTCACACCAAGAAGAGGAGCTGTTGCAAACTCCAGGACCGTACAGAGTACACACAGATACACATATGCTTTGCTCGAACTCTCCTGCTTGGAATCAAGAGACATTGCACTAACACTTAGCACGCTGGGCCAGATTTTTAAAGGTATTTAGGCCCCTAACGATGAAGATAGGCACCTAGTGGGATTTTTAAAAGCACCTCGGCTCCTATTTGAGTCTTTATACCTTTACAAAACTGGCTTTTTGTCTCTTCCGTGTATTTGCAGACATTCAGGGCAAAATCTATCCCTGGTGAATGCCACTGACTTAATTCACTTGCATCAGTGGTAGATTTGGCCTTTATTAACCAATATTTAGCTCAGCCCATTTGTGGTAGATGAGGAAGTATTACTGTCCTCACGTGACAGACTGGGGAAATGGAGGCCGCGAGGTTATGAGACTTGCCCCAGGCTACAGAAAGATTTAGAGATGGAGTTCGAATTCCAGAGACCCTGCCTTCCAGAGCCCAGCCAGCTACCAGAACGAGGAGCTGCTTTGATGATAACAAAAGGCAACACAGAGCAAAGTCAACACAACCCAGGATAAAGTCGCTAGAATTGCTGGGGGGCTTTATGCCAAGGAGCCTTAGGCAAGGAGGGGTTTGTGGAAGTTTGGTTCTATGGTGTGATGAGCGACACTCACAAGATTCAAAGACCTTCAGTTCATTTGGGATAAGAGAAGCATCCAGGAGTTTGGCTGCTTCTCAGAACCTACTCGGCGTCTCTGAGGTGCCAATCAAGATAGAAATCTCCCCGGACCAAGCTTCCTAGTGAACATTCCAGCCTCTGGAACATCCTGAGAAGAGGTGCTCATGCAACCTCCTGGGCTTTTGTTTTCAGCTAAAACCAGCGCGTGCAGCGCTGCAGACCAAAGCTACAAAAGAAAAAGGTACCTGAACTTTTGTAAATATGGAACCTGGTTTTCAGAAAGTGCTGAGCACCTGCCCTCTGAGAATCAGGCCCCTTTAGGTGTCTCCAGTTAGACTGAGCTGTTTCAAGGAAGGTTGGTCTGGTGGTTAAGACAATTGAGTAGGACTCTAGAAACCGAGGTTCAATTACTGGTCCTGCTACAGTCTTTCTGGGTGACCTTGGCCAAGTCACTTAGCCACGGCAAGCCCCAGAGATGGGTTACTGTGCTTGATAGATCAAATATCTGATTGGTTATGGGATAAATCCTTTGATGAGCCTCAGAGACAAAGAAAGTGGGGTTTGAAAAGGATTAACTCATCCCCTTATTATCTGCTAAGGGTTTACTTTCTTGTTCATTCCTCCCATTATACCGATAGCCTTTCAATGCTACATGCCTGAGTCCCCACCCCTCACATCCTTATAGATCAGCAGTAACGTTATTGAAGCCAATGGAGCATCACCAGCAATTGAACGGGAGGATCAGGCTCTGCCGTGCTTTACTCCATTGGTTCTGAAACTGACTGATCATGGCAGGGACTCCTTACTCATTTACCTGGGTGAAACTGCCTTGATTTCCAAAGAGCTGAGTACCTGCTGCTCCCATTGACTTCAGTGGGATTTGTGAATGCTCAGCACAGTGGGGAAATCAGGCCATTTACATGTGGGTATCTAAGTAAGGATTTAGGAGCTTAAAACTGGCAAAGGTTGGTCTGTGTTTCTGCTCAGCAGTACCATTGTGAGTATGGAAGGGCTGGTACAGCTGCAGTATCCCCGGACAGGAAAACATCTCACCAAAGACAATGAAACACCCTCCACCCTCCAAAAAACTATCATAGTAGCAACAGGTGTAGTTCAGATTCCACCACAAGTTACTGCGGTTTATGCAGGAATCTCTGGGGAAGGTTCTCTGCCCTGGGTATGCAGGATGACAGACTAGATTACCTTAATCAGAGAATCATAGAAATGGAGGGCTGGAAGGGATCTTCAAATATCATCTAGTCCAGCCCCTGTGCTGAGGCAGGACCAAATAAATCCAGACCATCTTGGGCAGGTGTTTGTCTAGCCTGTACTTAAAAACCTCGTGATGGGGATTCCACAACCTCCCTTGGAAGCCTGCTCCAGAGCTCAACTAACCTTAGAGTAAGAAAGTTTTTCCTATATCTAACCTGAATCTCCTTTGCTGCAGATTAACCCAATTGCTTCTTGTCCTACCTTCACTGCATATGGAGAACAACTGATCACTGTCCTCTTTCTAACAGCCCTTAACATATTTGAAGACTGCTATCAGGTCGCCCCTCAGTCTTCTGTTCTCAAGACTAACTAGATCCAGGTTTTTTTAACCTTTCCTCACCTTATTATAAATTTTTTATCATGTTTGTTGCTCTCCTCTGATGCTTTCCAATTTCTCCACATCTTTCCTAGACTGTGGTACCCAAAACTAGAGATAATACTCCAGCTGAGGCCTCACCAGTGCCAAATTACCACCCATGTCTTACATACGACACTTCTGCTAACACACCCCAGAACGATATTAGCCTTTCTTGCCACTGTATAACGTTGGCTCATATTCAGTGTGTGATCCACTAGAGCCCCCTGATCATTTTCAGCAGTACAACTGCCTAGCCCATTATTCCCCATTTGATTTTTCCTTCCTAGGTGAAGTACTTTGCACTTGTCTTTACTGAATTTCATCTTGTTGATTTCAGACCAATTCTCCAATTTGTCCAGGTCATTTTAAATTCTAATCCTTCCCTCTAAAGTGCTGGCAACCCCTCCCAGCCTGGTGACATCTGCAGTTTTTATAAGCGTATTCTCCCCTCCATTAGCTGAGTCATGAACGGAAATGTTGAATAGTACCAGACCCAGGACAGACCCGAGCAGGTCGCCACTAGATACAGCCTTCCACTTGGCAGCGAGCCATTGGTAACTACTCTTTGAATACGGTCAGCCAACCATGTGTGCGCCCATCTTACAGTAATTTCATCTAGCCACATTTCCCTAGTTTGCTTATGAGAATGCCATGTGAGACTGTCAGAAGCCTGACTAAAAGGAAGATACATCACATCTGTTAATAGCTGACGGGGATGTAATTCCCCAGGTCCTCCTTTTCCCTCTTTTGAGAAATAGGAGATATGATTGCCCTTCTCCAGTCCTCTGGGACCTCACCTGTCCTCTGTGAGTTCTCCAAGATAATCGCTAATGGTTCTGAGATCGGTACAGCTAGTTCCTTAAGTACCGTAGGGTGAATTTCAGCAGGCCCTACTGACTTGAATACATCTCATGTAGCTAGTATCAGAGGGGCAGCCGTGTTGGTCTGTAGCCACAAAAACAACGAGGAATCCGGTGGCACCTTAGAGACTAACAGATTTATTTGAGCATAAGCTTTTGTGGGTAAAAAACCCACTTCTTCAGATGCAGGGAGTGAAAATTACAGATACAGGCATAAATACATTGGCACGTGAAGAGACGGGAATTACCTTCCAAGTGGAGAACCAGTGACGACGAAGCCAATTCAATCCAGGTGGATATGGTCCACTCCCAACAATTGATGAGGCAATCATGGTGCCTCCCCCCATGCTCTCCCCCCTGGTGAGACCCCCCCATCTCTCCCCCCACACCAGCTGGGGAGTGGGCAAGTGGGGTAGCTCTTGGGAGTGGGGGCTCAAGGGGAAACTTTGAGGGGAGTGGAGGCAGGTGTGTGGGGGGGTGATGGTTGGGGTAGATCTAGGGGGTGGCAGACGGTGGGGGCAGGTGGGAGTGGGGTGCTCAGAGAGCGGGTGGGGAGTTGGGAGCTGATGGGGAGGAGGTGTCAGTGGAGGTGGGGAGCAGACCTGCACATGTGAGGGATGGTAGAGGCTGCTGCTCAGCCAGTTTCCCTGGTTTCCCGACAGCACAGTGTGTTCAGAGGCAGATCCAGGTCTCCTGGGGCCCTGGGCCAGAGCAAGTGAGGGGGCCCTGCCCCACCCCTTCCACCTGTGGCCCTGCCCCCGTTCTGCCCCTTCCACCTGTGACCCCGCCCACGACCCCACCACGTTCTGCCCCTTCCTCCACAGCACTACCCCTTTCCGCCCCTTCTGCACCCTGTTCCGCCCCTTCCCTGGGGCTCTGCCCCCGCCTCGCTCCTTTCCACCCCACCCCCTCACTGCACCACTGAGACTGGACAAGCGAGAGCTCCTCCAACCCCCAAGGGGCTGCATCCGGGGGAGATTTTTTCGGGGCCCCCAAATTCGCCAGGGCCCCTGATCATGGGCCCCATTGGCCTGGGGAGTAATCCACTACTGAGTGTGGTCAGTAAAACATTTGAGGTCCCTTATTTCCAGGTGTGTTGGCCTTCATTTGGAGCCTCACTGCCCATCATTGCAGACTCCAGCGGTTCAAAGATATAGAGTGAGTGTCAGGGGGGGAACGGACACTGTGACTGGAATGGTAGGGAATAGGGTACAAGTAGCCCTAATTGAAGTCCTCAATGGGGCTACTCAGGTGAATAAATGCTCACCCCTGAGAGTGAAGGCTTCACAATCTGGCCTTCGGTTTTGATTCACCCCTTGCTCAGGCAAACGCCCTTTGACTTGTCTAGTGCCACAGAGCAAAGTTTTTCTCCCAGTTGGCTTGTCCAAGGCAACGTGAAACCCCGCAGTCTCGCCCTCTGCACAGAACGAGTGTTGATAAATAAGACCTACTTTCAGCCGCGCTCTCCCCCCAACCCCCCGTTAGGGCGCTGTTAATGTGATTTCCCATTGGACCCATCAGAGATATTTGAACTCGGAAGCCCAGTGTCCCTAGTTATAAATCCTGCCTCTGCCAGACAAGAGGCTGATGCAGGGGACTTGAGTCAGCAGCATCAGCCTGCAGCTTAATTAACGCTAC